GTTCATTATTAATACCATTCTCTATCTATAAGAAGTCCATAACGGCCAGTATGCCTCCATTTGAATCAAGCGTCATTTTAATGAAGCTTAGCCAAAAACTTTACATATTTACTCCTATTAGAAACAAACTTTCCTTTCAATAATAATCAAGTTTTCTTTATTTAAATAACCAAAACAAATAATTTAGCTTACATTAACTAAATTTTTAACACTGAACTTTTAAAACGCGCCGCTCTAACACACTTACCTAACAAACTATTCATACACTTTTATCTTAGCAAAAATTTCATTCACTTTTCTTTTTATTTCCGTTTGCCTTTTTCAATTTGCGCTTAGGATCCGAGCTTTTGTCTACCTTACCAGTTGGTGCTTTGGCGCCAAAGTTTTCCTTTAGTTGTTTCAGTACAACAACACAGTTCAGCAAGAACATGGCTATCATAAAAACAAGCACCGATACAGCATCTAAAGAATGAAGCGCAAAGAAGCTGCTTTCAGACGCTGCCTGCGAGAAAAGATATCCACTTTCGATTGGATGCTCCAGCACATATTCTATCCACCACAATGCCACATCAAGTGGGTTCTGCGGCCGACCGCGAAAGGCAATCTGTCGAGACTTTGCATTCTCTTCAAATGTTGACTCCATAGTTATAGCACTTATGGCATTACGAAGCGTTTCCGAGCCAGTACTGATATCCACACTGACACCGAAACCCAATGCCACAGCGCGTCGAGCAGTCTATATTAGGGAACGTATGATGACTGAGAATGATACTCGAAAAAAGTTATATGCAAGTAGGTCTTACATTTGGCTGGTTGTATCCATTCGATACACTGATAATAGGTACTCCATGATAAGCTGCTGCTTGGACTTCCATATGACTGCCAGTGGCAATTAGACCTTTCACCTTACGTTGCGCTGCGTATTAGATATGGATGATAATTAATTATTTTAGTAAAAACTTTTATTGCAAAAGATTTAAGTGCTTCCGGCCAAGGAATAAATAATGCATACCCAAAATATTGCTTCTCTTCAACCACTTGCCCACAAAGAGATTTTTCCTGCTGCTCCAGGACAGGATGACACTCTTATCTACTCCCCATATGAAACCATATTCTGGAAAACTATCTATCGTGTTTAATAATGCTTCGATGAGTTCGGGTCTCAGCTCTTTAAAATTCCCTTGGATGCCGAGCGTTACAATGAAGACACCCTCCTTCGAGTTGTCAATGAAGGTTTGCATTTCCACTGACAGCGGTCGGTTGATATTATCGAAGTGTAAGCCACCCACTTCGATAACATTTGGCGGCAGTGCGTGTATATAGTCGATGGCCGGATGACTGTTGACCAAAACCACTTTGACGCGTTCAATAACGCCTTCCAGCGTAGGTGCTATGCGCGCTTCCTGTAGCTGCGCGCTCTTGGCCAACATTGCCTCTTGAACACGCTCCGAAGTGAAGTGACGAAAGCTGCAAGTGAGTGAGAGGACAGTTTAAGTGCTAACGTTTGCTCACTCATAAATATAAATATATACATACACTGGCAATCGAAAGTGAGTGCATGGTGTTTTTTTGTTTAATATTTATCTGCCTACTCAAAAGTTTTCTAAAATTTCAGATTAAAAAAATTTAGACGAAAATTCGTTGAATTGTTGTATAAAGTTTGAAAGCTTTACTTATGTGGTTTTAATTAAAGCATGAACCATATTTTTATAAAAAAAAAAATAACAAAAAATTTTAACTTGAAAAACATTGCAAATATTAAACAAAAAAAACACCATGCACTCACTTTTGATTGTCAGTGCATGTATGAACATATGTATGTACATATGTGTGTATGCGCAGTGACTCACAAATTGGCTGTTGTGTAAACAGCTGTGTTGTGTAGACGCTCCAAGAAATTCATGCGCTCGTCGTGAACGGTGGTAAAATGTGGCACTGTAGCCGGTTGAATCTGCGCTCCACGCGCAACTTTTAGCAGATCTGGTGTGATATACGATGCACTAACTGCCACAATCGGAATTTCCCCGAAAAGCTGTGCCACCGCTAGCAGACATGATCGCCCATACGTTGCATCAAATAAAATCAAATCGAATGGCTCTTCCACTCCAGCTCCCCTAGACAAGTCGATTAACTCTTGTAGTCCGCTGAAGGAGGCAAGCACACTTTGGCAGATTCTCATCTGCTTATCGTACCAGTGGATGACGCGTTCAAAGGCACTCAGCCAAGTGTTCGCAAAGTACGTGGGTGGTTCATTAGCATCCAATGTTCGCTTTACTTCCTCCAAATGAATTTGCGCAATGGCTGGTGACTTAACCGCAACTCCTCTACTGCCACTTACAACTGTGAGTTTATGGCCGCGATCGATGAGGCCCTTGTAGATGGCGTCGTGCCTATTACGAAATTTTACAATATAGATAATTATTTATAGCAGCGTAAAACACTTCGCTAAATTATACCAAATTTGTTGATCCGGCGTTGTTAACACCTCCACTAAGCTAAGAATATTCGCAGTATTTGCTATGCCAGCGATATGCAAGAGCGCCACGATTAGGCTGAGTATATTTGTGGATCTCATTGTGCGTGTGCGATGCGCGTAATCGCCTGCTAAATATGCACTTTGTGGAATCCGCTTAACAACTGAATTGTTTATGAATGCCGGTGCCGGTGTTTGGTGCTGTTACTTACTGGTGGCGATTGCGGTCTAGATATAGCATAGCATAGGCCGAAGGTTGTGGAACATAAAGAGAGCCTATCTTATCGGTTTTTAGGGTCGCTTATGGAGTTAATTTGTATTGATAAGAAACCGCCTGGTAAGTTGTGATTGTGAGTGTGAGCGAGCGGGAAAGGGAATGCGCGATTTAACTGACAAAGAGCTGCAGAAAGAGTTCGACGGTGGCATGAAGAGTCAGTTAGTGAAATTACTTGAAGTTAATTCGAGAATCACGCCTTGCAGTACTCGTCCAAACACAACAGTTATGCGAAAAAAGAGATCAGTGTTGTTACTAGCACAGTTATAATGTAAAAACAGGGTTATCCAATATCACACTCGAAAAGTATGTAGGCTCGAAAGAGAACAAATTTTAAATAAGAACTTTTTAAATTTTGAATTTCATTTAATCGATGCTTTTCGCCATTTTGGTAAACTAAATGCTTTCATGAGGTCATTTTTGTTGACTTTTGTGACCAATTATTAATGCTAATTTAATGAAATTTTTCATGCAACCCTGCTAGGTAATGTATTTAGTTTTGACTTGGATGTATGTTTATTGAACAATCAGATTTGTGTTTCTAGTCCTCTTTCTTAGCTGATATTCCATCAGGGGTAAACAATTTTATTATCAAATCGCATCTAATTTTCGGAAAACCTTACCTAAAAGTAGATAAATGTTCCTAAAAAGTTAATTGTGGAAAAAGTGAATCACTTTCCTCCCAGTTCTGCGATCTGACGTTTTAAAAAGAAATATGTTCCGTCTATCTGGCGAAATCAACTACAGTTATAATTATTTGAATACCCATTTGTATAATTTGTATGCCCCGTCACAAAGAAGGGACAAGTTACCCAGACCAGAAAATGCATTGAAATGTCAATGAAAATAAGAACTGATTTCCTGCGAAGTTATTTCGCTACGTTCCAGACGTACGTAAAATCGTGTGTTTTTTACCGGAAGACGGACCTATCTCGAGTTCGAAAACCCCCTATCTCAGAAAACTTTTCATGGCCGCCCTACTTCAGAATTCCATTGAAGAACGACCTATTTCAGAATTTTATTGAAAAACACCGTATCTCAGAATTCGGTTCAAACACGCCCTATCTCAAAGGAAAATACATTGAAAATGCGCTGATATAGGGCGTTCTTCAACAAAATTCTGAGATAGGGTGTTTCTCAATGAAATGGAAATAACTAAATAGGAATAAAGAGAGAAAACAAGTTTGCTAAAAATTAAATATGCAATAAGTAGATTAAAGCTAAATTGTATGAGGCCTACGGCACAGCCCAGCTTTTTTTTAAGATTAGCTTTATTAAAAACAACTATAATTACATTAAAAAATAAATAAAAGCTATAATTTAATGAATTACAAAATTAAATGAAAACTCTACTGGCCGTGGAAATTGAACCATTGACCTAGCGGCTTGTCGATTCGCATTATTAATTCCGATCAACACTGGCATCTGGATCTTCTAAAAGATCTCGACTTCTTGTTTAGAATTATTTAACAGTCGGTGACAGAGGAGTAAAGTAAACGGAGAAACCTTCGCTTAAATTGCTTCTTAATGTTGAATGCAATGTAAAAACACCTGCTTTCCCGACATATTTCTTAGATATTCATCTGTCGAAGCACAATTTACAACTCTGATACTCACCCTGTACACATTTGTAGCATTTGTAGCATTTGTCACACTTTGAAAACGATTACCATTCAATGCCATGCGGCTGGGAAATAAGAAAAAAATTTGCAATTTTACTGTGTTTTAATTTCGCAATATTTATTACAACATTCAAGATTTGACATTTTCTGCTCATAACGGAGGTTTCCTGGCAACGGATGTCCATTATTTATATTCCAATACGTGTACATACAAATAAGATACATATATGTAATAAATGTGTTGTTTAATTAAATGTTTCCACTAGTGAGTTAATCGAATATTATTAGAGATATTAGAAGCTGAAGGAAAATTTACTAAATTACAATAAACATCTATTGGCCAGGAAGTGTGTGTGGAGAAAATATTTAATCACGTTTTGTTTTTAGTAATAAAATTATAAGACTATAAATTGTCACTCGATTTGCAATCATTTGTCAATCGATAGCGTCCACAGGTTAATCGCATTTAGCTTTACATTAACATAAATATATACACATACACATATACACATAAATAAGTTTTGTAAATTAATTTTAACGTTTAGTTTAAAGCTACAATTTAAGTTAAATTATTTCAACTAGTACTATTTATTTAATTAATAAAGTTTAAATACCTTTTTATGTGTTTTTATTTTTTTATGTTTTCTTTTCCCTTTAAATATGTTAGCTGCTTTGTGTTTATCTTTGATTTTTGTTAATATGGCAAGATTAATACATGAAAGTGATTCCGTTAGCTACATACATAATTAACTAAGTAATTACTTATTACGATCGTCGTATTCGTTCGACACCCCAGTATACTCCCCAGTTACTAATTGTCAGCTCACAGCTGTTGCATTTCGTTTAAAAAAAATAATAATATTTTAAATAAAATCACACTAATACAGTTACAGATACATACTCGCACAAACATATTTACACATGTGTGTGTATGCTCAATATACAAACAATACATCCCATTTAGGCGCACAGCTTTCACACCCCTTCGCAGGCAATAATTGGCCGATTCCATCTTAAATCTCCATCACTTCTTTTCTTCACCTCTGGCAATTCTTTGGCAAATTTGTTTGCCAGTAGTAATTAAACGTAATTCTAAATAAACATTTTTATTTTGCTAAGCCATCACTCCAAAGTCTCTTCTTTGTCTTTGGCTAGTTGATTGCTGCTTTGGGTTAATTGGTTCCTGGGTTGTTTGATGTTAGACTTAAGACGGCGTTTTTTGTAAAAAAATATTTTCGCAGTTTGAGAGTTCTGTTGCTTAGCTTCGCAGTTCCGCATAGCTGCGACTTCGCTTCATCTTAGACAGCAGCATCGTAGGGAGTTGCTCCAAGACCCACGTATCGATTATTGTTTCTATGGACAAACCCACGGCCGGGCGATGCATTGTAGTAAACAACTCGCCGAATGCCGAAGGGATCCACGTAGCCAAAGCTACCGGCTCGCTTGTCGTCCCCGAATTGTTCCTCCTCGTGATATTGGCGTGGTAGGAAATAACGGAAACCATTGGCAGTTGCACCGACTCCATCGTACTGCGCGGGCTCGCTGGCGCCGCTGCTTAGTGCTGCCGGCCGGTGACGGCGACTCGGCGGCGGTGGTAATGGTGGCAGCAGTCCACCTTCTAGCTGATTGATCTCCAAGGCATTAGCCGCTGTATCTGTATGTGTAGGCTGCGTTGCGGACTGTTGGTAATAATATCCGCCATTCGCGTTGGACCCACTTCCAGCGGTGGCTGGTACAAATGGTGTGGGTGAAGAATATCCGTAGCTGCTGGTTGCTTCATCGCCCGATATAGCTGCCGGTTTGGGATCGTAGACAGCAATCGGACGCAAGCGTTGGCGAGTTGCACCTTTGTTGAGCAAAGGCGGCTGCATGTCGAGCGCTGGTAGAGACGGCGCCGCCACGGCTGCTGCGGTATTAGTTATTTGATTATAATCTGTTATCGAATTGCTAGATGGAGTTTCGTAGGAGTTTACACTCGGATGAACATGCTGAGCATGGACGCGTCCACGATGCAGAAGACGAGGCAACTCATCAGGGTAGTGATCGAAACCGAGTTTGCCAGATGGCTCAATATTCGCAGCCTCGGCTGGAGAGAGATAGTTCAGTTTGCCATCGTAAGCTTCTGAAGCTGGATCATGAACCACTACGGGCGCACCGATTGTAGGCGGCAAAGGCGTTGTAGTGGTGGTGGAGTAGACATAGCCGGTTGGCTTCGATTTTTCGATATGAGTCACGCTATTCGAATGATGAAGTCCAGAGCGACCATTAAGAAGAACGCCGGACTGGGCTGGCACAGATTTGGTTGCTTTGATGGCATCCTGAGGGTACACCAAGAAAGCGAAATGTTAGTATTTATATCACTTGGAACCAAGATTGTGGTTTTGCTATATAAATATATATATAACTAACCTCGATGTGTCTGCCATTGCCAACAAAGACTGTTTTCGATTTCAATATGCGGTAACCATCTTTGTCAGCGATGTAGTCCTTTTGACGTAGAAATCCAGCGGCGTCTATCCAAGCTTCGGTGCCTAAATGGGGAAACCGTAAACGATAAAAGGGGGAACTTAAGTTTTGTTTTTCGGGTTTGCATTCTTCATAATAAGATCGTACCTACAACTGTACCGTCTTGGAGACGACGTTCCTTACGAAATTGTCCATTGTCCGTTTGGAAGCGAAAGTACCGCTCCGGTCCTTCATCCGTTTGTATATGATATTGACCATCGCCCGGCGAACCCCACGAACCTTCCACAACAGTAGTAAGTGAAACCTGAAACAGATAATAGAAATTAAGTTATTTTAGCTAAAGCAATGATCATAAAGTCTTTATAAAACTATATATTACACAATACTATATATACATATCCAAAGAGCCAACAACGTGCGCTGTTAAAATTATATTTATTCCATTTTTAACTAATTTTCAAAATTTTGATTTTATGTGCAACTAGTGACGATCATGAGAATTACTGGTGGTAACTCCGTAATCTTCGGATTACTGCGTACCGAAGTTGGCTCTGATTGGACCGTTTTCTCAACAAATCGCTTTAAAGGGTGAATGGGAAAGTGACAGCCGCTAAAACAGAAGATCGTTCGAAGTTGGACAATAGATTTGGTGGAGGGAAGGCTATATAGTAGCGTGGGCCGAAAATCCGCTTTTTTAGAATTTTGATTGGTAATAGCAAAAATATGGTTCATTATGCCCTAAAAAAATCTCTGCGCAAGATTAAAAGTTTTAGTCAATATCTTAGGCTCGCCCAAGTCCATCAAAGTTCAAGTGGTAAAAAACATTTTTTTCTTAGCTTATTTCGATTCTCTACCAAAATGGTCCATATACCAATTTATGTAAGGCTAATACTTCCGAAGATAGATTTTTTTTAGAGCATAATGAACCATATTTTTCTTATTCTAAAAAATCGGATTTCCGGCCCACGCTACTATATAGCTTCCCTGAACATTTCTCAACGTATCATTATCGAGCCAAGGACCTTATTTGGCGACTAGATAACAGAATATAACATCTAGGGCCACATCCTTAAAAGGAGTGTAGAATGTCTTTCGCTGGGGAGTGCGGAAATTTTTTAATAACAGTTATTGATGAAAACTGTCCGTAAAAAATTCACTAAGAAAGAAATGTTATACAACTAAGTGATACATATCAATCAATCAATTTATTTTTGCATCGAGAAGCAAATTTGAAAATAAATTTTTATTTGTAGTTTTTATGAAAAATTAAAAAACTAACAATTTTTATATATTTTTTTTTTTTGTAAATCCAAAATAACAATTATTTTTGATTTTTATCTGTAAATAACAGTTGTTTTAGATTTTTATATTATAAGTCTTATATATATATTTTTTTTTATAAAAATCATGAATAAAAATCAGTCACCGACTTTTATTTTTTAAGTCATACGTATAAAAGTTATCATCATTTTTCGCAGTTAAGAAGGTGCTGGAGTATAAAAGTTTACTGCGACTTATAAAAGTGACTTTTAACAGAATGATTTTAAAAATAAAAGTCAGTGACGGATTTATATTGAATGACTTTTATAAATAAGTAGTAATTAAATAAAAGTCGAAAAATAACTGTTAAACAGCGATTTTTTTAATAAAAGTTGTAACTGATACAGTCGCCGGACTGACCGTCCGTGCGTCCACTCGTGCAGACGATAACTCGAGTAACAATTGAGATATCTTACGAAACTTGTATTTCTTTTGAGCCAAGGACAGATACCACGTCTACCTCTCATTTAACGGTAATTTAGATAATTACGAAATCTTCGATAATCAGTAAATACTGAAGCGAATTTGCTCGAAATCGATATTTGACATATAAATTTAGCAAAAAATACGTTTATAACAAATTTTTTCAAAATGGGTCCAGTGATGACCACATATATGCATCACGGTAGCCGATCCTTCAATTTGTTCCAAACTTGGAATGATTAACTTGTACTTAACACACAAAATATATGAACGCTAATTGATACTCATAACAATCTCTTAAAAATAAATAAAATTACTAGGGGTAAAACCACCCCTGCTTACCATGTAACGGTAGCCTACAATTAATCATATCAGCATAAATATTTGTTTCAATCGTACGCTGCAGTCTACCACTGGGTTGTTTGAGCATTGCTAAGTGACAAATGCTTTTGTAAAATAAACAAAGCCAAGCGAACCTTTGGAATCAATAAATTTCAGTCAGCAAAAAGGCAATAAGAAAAATCAATTGAAAACAAATTTGTATCGTTTTATAGTTACTCACACGCGTAGCATTACCAAGTAAACGCGCAAATGCCTGCCAACACTCACCATGCGTCAATAATTTCTTATAAGTTGGCGCGCTACAGTCGTGGTACGCGTGCTAACGAGCCCGTGTTCCGAGAGAAACAGGAACTCTGCTACACCGTCCGCAAATCGCTGGTCGACTGCGTTCGCGATGAATTACAGCAACTATCACGTCGGCTATTCTACCAACGCATCTACATACTGGCGAAGAACAATTTGAATGTAGAGCCCCCGTCGCGAGTCGAGGAAGCCGACTTCAAGATATACCTTCAAGCGGAGTTAAAACGGATTTTAAAGCTCTTTGCCGATGATAGTATTTCGGGTGATAAGCCCACTGGGTGTTTCATATACATGGGCGATTACTCTATACTCGTGTTTGAGTGCGTTGAAGACATTGTCGGCGGCTTCTGTGCTCATTTAAGTGCAATTGCTGATAAATATTTTCAAGCCAACAAAGTTTTCCTCACTGAAGATCGCACCGGAGAGGTAAGTAAGTGCCAACGCAAACCAACATTCCACCATTCCAACAAAAGAAAATGAGAATTGTGACTCTTGCAGACTTATTTTCAAGCGTTCCATAGTCGACGGGCAGCACAAATTAACATCAATGAAAAGTTTCCAGCCCACACAATAACCGACATTGAGCTAATGGGACAACAACACTTGACGATCAAGCATAAATTGCACGAGCTATGCGAAGCCCTGGCGGAAAAGGTGCAGAACGAACAGGAAGTCTCTATTCACCCAGCCACATCTTCGCTGAAAGGTACTACAGTTGCTCCAGGCCGTCTCACTCTCGAAGCGGAAGAACCCTTGCCAGCAAACATATTCAACAGACTTCTGCCCGAGGTGCAGCGCATTGAACTTGTGCTGGCGTGCAGCCGATTCTACTGGAGCGTAGAACGTCGTGCACTTATGTACAATCGCATACCGGTTGTGTTGGATACGGATTTGCTACCTTGGCCCATACCATACAACTACACTCCGGTTGGCGTATTTCGACATAGCCCGTTCGACGTGAATCTCACATTTTCGGACTATGGCAAGAAAGATGAAAAGGACGAAGTGAAGAGTAGCAGCTCAGAGGGAAGCGAGAAAAAGGGCGAAAATTCAGCAGAGTAATTTTTGAAATAGACTGGAGCAAGGTTTAACCAAAAGGCTTTGCTCATCCAATTTTTCTTCGCATATGTAAAAATCTTGAATCAACAAAAAAATAACAAATTAAATTAAATTAACATTGTTAGTTAAGAAAAATTCAACAGTGAAGCGTGTCCCACCCGTGACAGCTGAAACTATAAACATCTGAGTACTGTTTCTAATCGTTTGGCAGGGTACTGTAGTAAATATCGTATACATATGTATATGTATGTATGTATGTATGTATATATTACATTTGTTGAAGCCATATTTTTAACTTTATTTTAAAACAAATTCCGAAAAGTATAGAAACATTCCCCAACAAGCATTTCAGTAAATGTTTTTAAAAATAACTTAAAGTAAGTTTGCTATAATAAGCGTTAAATAAGGATTTTTAATATTAAGCTTATTAAAAGTTTTTTTCAAATAAACCTTTAATAAGTTTTGAGAGCGAATGTTTATAAATAACTTAAACTTATAAATGGAATGTAAATGCCAACGACATGAAGTAGTAAATATAAAATTTTTTCAATCGTAAGTGGCGAGTTTACGTTTTTTAAAATATATTATTAAAAGAAAAAATTAAATAAAACCAATGCGGTAAAACAAGAAAATCCAATCCAGAACCCGCTGCGCTAATCGGTGGAGCTTTCGAGTCTTCAAATGATGAGTTCCCCTTATCCTTTCTTAGTTTAACATTCAATTAAAAATGTATTAAATTTTTTTTCAGAAAAGTTCATCATTGAGAATGGCGGCGATGAAGCGGAATATATAGCTGCATCGATGTCGCTTTTCCAATTTGCCAATAACCGCAAGTAATTGAAAGCACGCAACAAGATGTAATAATTAACTTTTTTATGCTTAATTTGTATGTGTTATTGTGAATTTGTATGCTAAAATGTCTATTCCCTATTTATATTTTCGCGACTGTAGATGAGTCCGCCGAAAATTCGCATTTCGTTTAGTTTCTAGATGTTAAGCAATCTATGTATGAGTTTTTAATGAAATATCTTTAAATAAAGGGTTATAAAAATGTTTATAAAAAGCTTTCTTTTGAAAATTTTTAGTAAGTTTATATTCATACGCTTATAAACAACTTTTTTTGAACCTTTATTATAAGTTTACACTTTTACGCTTATAAAAAGCTTTCTTTTGAACATTTATTACAAGTTTATATTTCTACGCTTATATGCAATGTTCCTTTTCGATTATTTTACGCTTACTTTCAAGCGTTTATAAACAAAAAATCAACGTTTTGTAAGCTTAATGCTTATAATTGAAAACTTAAAAAAAACTTTCTTTAAGTTTATTTTGCTTGTTGGGTCGCTTTAGCATTTTCAGAGTCAAATAAAACTATGATGTAGATATAAATGTATGTACATATATTTTTACCACCTTACGTGTATACATAAATATGTACATATGTAAGTAAATATATTAACGCGGAATCAGCTATACATACTTTATTCATTTACCTTACTTTAAGGCCATGCACTTCAATATTCTTATTTATTTACTTGTATAACATTTGCCATTAAGCAAATTGCCACTGGATTCTTGTTCGCCCACAGTAACTGAAAAGAATATGTAAAAAATATGGTTCCTACCTACTACCACCAATGTGAAAAATACAGCCATTATGGCGTATCAGATGAACCACCAAGCATTTACCATTAATTTTATATCTCTGAACAATCGTTTTTTTTTTTTTATCTGTTTTTATTTTTTCCCACCAACAGTGAACGATTTTATCGCCTGCTTTCAAGCATTCGAGCTAAAACAATTTGCCACCACACACACAAATGCAAACAATTGCATCCGTCCGTTTAATGGCGAATCACTCATACGACGTGTATTACTCTACGCAACTCAAGATGTGACGACAAGCGTCAAATATTTAGCCATACACAATTAAAAAATATGTACATATATAGTATAATGAAACATGCTCGATCGGCCATTCACGCACCATTAGGACTCACTCAATCAACGCGGCGGCGCTCATCCACTCAAATAATTTACCGTCAAATGGCCATTCATTCACAAAAATTATCCAAGCATGCCTCTTTTCGCTACGCTTCATCACTTTTATTGACCACATAAATACTCCATATGTATGTATGTATGAACGAGTATATTTGTACGCAAGCTAAGGCATCTTGATTGGTTATGGTGTGACGTCAACGTGTCAACAAGTGGATAAGCTGCTTTGGAAGATGCGGCCAATGGCAACAACAACAATCACAGGGTCGATATCAGCCACAATGTTTCAGCGTTCGAAAATGTAAACAAATAAAAACCGGCAGCTCCACAAAACTATTTCAGCAAACAAAAAAAAAAATCCGAAGTGGATGAGCTGCAAATGGCAACACACAGAGAGGCAGATGGGATGGCAAATGCAGAGACAGAAGCGGCGGAGATCGAAGCAGCCGTTGCGAATGTAAACAAAAAGCTTGCAGACTTTATGGGGCTTTGCTGTAGCTGTAGTGATGTTTGTTGTTGCTGTTGACTTTGGCCATTGTGGCTTCGAGGCGCCAGCGGAAAACAAGAAACGCTCGATTGGCGCACGAGCGTCAAAAAAAAAAAATTAAAAAAAAAAATCAAACCAGTTGCTGCGCATCGTCTGCGGTCGATCATTATCTATATGGAAGGTGGTTTCATTTTGCCTTTATTTGCATTAAATCATTTCCGTTCGTCGTCGTCGTCGTGAAGATTAGCCCGAGCGATTGCGTTTGCATGTTGCAGTTGGCTACGACCATATGGTGGTAACTACAAGAACAACAAACAACAACAAACAACAAAAAAAAATACATAGTAATAAATGAGCACGATGAGTGTAGTGCACAATTATGCAACAGCCGGAGGAATGAGAGAGGAGGGCAACAACACAAAAAGTGACAGTGGCCATGGCAATTGACGTTGTGGTCAATAGCTGGGGCTACGAGCGACTACCCGCGATAAGTGCTACTTATAATAAATCAAGTTTGTTAACTACGTATGTATGTATGTATGTATGTAGAGTGAAGTGGGGTGGTAATGTTTTGTTTTGACTGTGCATTTCTTAACATCGGTGTTTGGGCCTCCTTTTGCTGATTGAATTTAATCGAAATTAATTAGGGAGCCATTTCAAACACCTTTTGTTCGATACTGATGGTCTGATATTTTATTTTAATTTCGCACAGTAAAATTAATTTCAAATATTTTTTCAACTACCATCTCAAATTAAAATATGAACTTCTTTATTAAAGCGGCGGATAGCGTTTCGACTATATGGAGGCAGGTGGAAAAAATCGGTATACAGTGTTTCGACTGCTGTGCGGCTGTCGGTTATATTTCTTTTCTTTCACTCTGCCCGCATAAAGTCATAAAGGGCAGAAAGTTTTAAGCTGTGTACGAAAGACAAATACGGTCGGAAAGCCGATGCCTACCAGAAAAAAACTACTTCCATTTCTTGAATGTAACCTATCCTATTTTCGAACCTGGATCCTATCCAGTAGTGGTACGCACGCCTCACTATTCTGCTATGGAATTTTAAATTTGTACATATGTAGATGACTTCATTATCCAATAATTTCTTAAAAACTAAGACAAATATTATTCTGCATTTTCGTATTTTAAACTATAGCGCCTTTAATAAATAAACCCAAAATATTGCCATATTGCCATATTGCTATGTTTTAATTAATAATCGCCCCCTATCTAGCAGCTGCGAAAAAATCGTTTCCTTATTTGTAAGCTTTATGAGTTGTTTCCCCTTTGTTAAATTTGCTAATTCCTTAATTTTGGCTTATTAATATTGAATTCTGTCATTTTCCGAGAAACACAACAGCGATTTTTTTTTCGGTTGCCAGTTATTTTGTCTTTTGGCAATTTGTGTCATTGTTTTTATTGCTTATTGCCCGCCAGCGCAAACAGATCAAATTTATGAGGTCATTTTTCTGACCTCTGGCTGTTCTGACACATTCGAGTTTACACCACATTTTATCGCTTTGTTGGTATTTGTGCTTCGATCAAATATTAACTTGTTGACCGCTTTGTTTAGGGCAACCAAAATTCGCTGCAAAAAGACTTCAGAGACCACAAAGTCGAGAGCTAACTCGAACAATGGATCGTTGATTGTACCAAATTACGAAAATCTTTCACTCGCCATTGATTAGCGTAGACAAAAATGTGTGTATGTATGTATGCTTGCATGTAACTATAGCATTGCTTACGTAATCGAAAGTCACGCAACAACAATTATTTATTAGCTGCAAAATTGCTCCAACAAATTGCGCACAGTCGATGCTCAGTTTGCCAGATTATTTGATTCGCATATTTTTCTCCATAAAAATTATGTATTCATTTATTATTTTTTTCCTCAATTCAGGATGTGTGGAAGCAAATGGTAACAACGCGCTGCGAAAATCAAAAAGTGCACTGGCCAAACGGGCTTTTCCACTCTGTGTACACGCCAAGTCGGCAGCGGTCAGCAAGCGAAATCGTCGTCGGAAGCAGTTGGCAGCCATCAATGTCTACCACTGTGTGTGTGTGTATTTTGCTCCAAAAACCGATGTAATATTTTAAAAATAATCGCAAGTGTGGCTGCAGGCGAGGCGAGGCGATTACCGTCGCAATACCCACGCTGCTCATAAATACTGATATTTTTTTCATGTATTGGTGCACCTATTTATGAGCAAATTGTAGCCGCAAATATTGCAATGATTGCAAACAACAGCGATGCAGCAACTTATTTCAGTTAGCTCAAAATATGTATGTATCTACATATGCACATTCATATGTGTACATATGTAAATGTAAAACCTGAGTTTTTGTTGTTGTAATCACAACTAGTTTCAGGGCTTGTGGGGTGTAATTTTTTATGTGCAACGTCGGTCGCATTTTATAGCTGACAAGGCAGCGATGTCAACTGTGTATGGAGGTGTCAATTCTTTAACTAAGCGGGCGATTAAAAATATCATTAGTATTTTGATTTCTCGTGAGTTACTTATTAATAAATTCAGATAACGTCTACCACACCTACTCCTTAATGCAGTGGGTGGCGAAATTCGTCAATTTATGCTATTTTTTTGTACTTCTTCA